CAGAAGCAGTTTAGTCATGCTGGCCACATGACCCGGAAAGCTGTCTGTGGACAAACACGGCTCCCTCGACCTGAAAGCAAGATGAGCACCACAACCCCATAGTCACCTTTGACTGGACTTAACCGTCCAGGGGTCCTTTACCTTTTACATGTAAAGGCAAAGTTAAAAATTCAAGACCTATACTGTAAGGATGTTCAGATCAACAGAGGTAGACCTCTTGGCAATTCCACCACCCTCAGAAGCTTTGGATGGAATCATAGAATCATAGAGTTGGAAGAGACCACAAGGGCCATCGAGTCCAACCCCCTCCCCTGCAGATGGCGGCAGCCCAGGAGAGGGTATTTTCTGTGGCTGCTCTTAAGTTGTGGAGTTCCCTTCTCATGGAAGTACATTTGGCATGCTTGTTATGCAACTTCTGTTGTGTGCTAAAGACACACCTCCTTACCTTGGCCTTAGCCTAATGCAGTACAGTTATGAAAAATACCCTCCTGAGAGATGATTGTAGCTACGGGATTCCGCTACCGAATCTGAAAAATTTGATGCCGTTATGTTTGACGGATTACGAGTCGCTCAGACTATTGTGTGTAGGATGAACACTGTGAGTTGCTTGCAGCACTGCAATTCTAAACACGTGCCAGGAATAAGATAGGGATCGCTCTTTGCACCCCCACTGCAGCTACAAGATTAGCCTATAAACACAATCTGCAGCACCATTAAGAAAATGTTGGCCTTTCAGAAAACCCTCCCCAACCAACCATCCTGGGCTTTACTCAAATGAAGCTGTCATCCTGCCCCCATTTGTTTCTTTCACCAAGAGTTTTACAGAGTCAAAAAAATTGGTTGGTAAGCCAGCATAAGTGTATGTCTTTAAAAATGCATGCCTCCCCTTTGTCAAATCGATTTGAGAATTCTGTTTGTAGTTAACTCTCAAGAGATGCTTATTACAAACTCCTGCAATCCTATAAATGCTTGTTGAAAACTGAAATCTCTGCAGCTAGTTTTCAGCTGTAGGACCGGATTGATGGAGTTGATGGACAATGCACAGGAATAAGGATAATAAATGCGTGTGCACTTCTTTAATTTAGTCTCAGAAGTACTTTTTTGTGTGGGAGTAATCCCTCACCACTTTGTTTCAGACCACAGACACTTCTTCTTCAGATGTATCTTAGCCTTGATAACAATGAACACTGAGCCAAATATATCCACACCAGTTTCACTGGGCTGTTGTTGTTTAGTCGTTTAGTCGTGTCTGACTCTTCGTGACCCCATGGACCAGAGCACGCCAGGCACTTCTGTCTTCCACTGCCTCCCGCAGTTTGGTCAAACTCATGCTGGTAGCTTCAAGAACACTGTCCAACCATCTTGTTCTCTGTCGTCCCCTTCTCCTTGTGCCCTCCATCTTTCCCAGCATCAGGGTCTTTTCCAGGGAGTCTTCTCTTCTCATGAGGTGGCCAAAGTATTGGAGCCTCAGCTTCAGGATCTGTCCTTCCAGTGAGCACTCAGGGCTGATTTCCTTCAGAATGGATAGGTTTGATCTTCTTGCAGTCCATGGGACTCTCAAGAGTCTCCTCCAACACCATAATTCAAAAGCATCAATTCTTCAGCGATCAGCCTTCTTTATGGTCCAGCTCTCACTTCCATACATCACTACTGGGAAAACCATAGCTTTTACTATACGGACCTTTGTTGGCAAGGTGATGTCTCTACTTTCGTCCCCAATAAAAGTGGGAAGAGTAATTAGGTAGGCTCACATTTAAACACTAAACCCAACCAAATTTCTCTTCCACCTCTACATTGATCCTGTGAGTGACATTCTGAAACCTGGACACCCCCCCCCAGTCTCAGTTGCTTCTGAGCATAATTGCTTGATGATTAAGGAAAGATACCGCACAGAGGTTTCAATGTATTTTCTTTCCTTGCTGTTGCACTTCTTCCAGATCAGAAGCATTGCACTGGGAAGATGTTTTGGGGGCCCCATCAGGAAGGGCATAAAGGCAAATGTCCTGGAAAAATTGGGACATCCCTTTTCCCCCCTGTGAGAACATGACGGCTATTTAGGCCACTGTGATCTCACACAATTCCATGCTGAAATTTCGTCGTCCCAAAAAATGCTTTTTGGGTGGCCACAATCTTGCATGGCACCCCAAAAAGTGTATTTTTGGGCACCGTGAGGGCCTGCCCCCCAAAAGCGTGTTTTTGGGGATTTGGGATCTCATGTGGGTCATGTGACGGTAGGGAAGACACACATCCTGGTTTGGGGACTCAACATGTTGGAGGATATTCAACATAGAAGCAAGAAAACAGGACTCGGTTATGTCATAGAGTTCAGGGCTAATAAACAGTATTTTAAACAAAGACTTCTCCAGGTTATGTGAGGCCGACAACCACAAGATCGTTCAAGAGATTAACAGTTTGCCAAAACTGTTTTCTCTGATGAGCTAGAAGCTGTCCTTTCAAACCGTTTAGGTTTCAAACTTCCTGGTTCTGCACTGCCCTCCTGTTATTGTTGGTTGACAAATGATTCACTACTAAATGCTTTTTGCAATCCAGTTACTGTATGGTAAGGAAATGACAGAACCTTCTCTGCAGACTGAAGCTTTTTTTTAAAGCCATGGAAGCTTCTTATTCGCTATATCCCAGAATTCACCACCACCACAGAAACTTTCTAAAGACACTATCCAATCCACGCATAGTTGAAAATAAACAAACACATTTTAAAAGGGTCTTTGCTGTGGAATTTACACACCAAAGCTGGAGATGTTCCCTCAGGAATGAAACAATCAAGTGAAAACTACTTTCCTTTCAAGCTACTCTCTGTGTATCAAAAGGCTTGTCTTGTCCTCTTGCTGTTCAAGTTGTACATAAAGACATTTTACTGGCAGGATTTTCATTTTAACAGGTGTATAAAAGTTTATATAAATAAAGAGAAGAGAGCAAGAGCCATATTTTTTCTCTTTTCTTACCATCTTGTAGATAGAAGCTTTTATCTGGATTCAGATGCAGTCCTTTTTGTAATTTTGCACCTCGGAATTAGTAAAATGTGTCACATACTTCACCCTATGATCTTTTGGTTAATAGACTTTCCAGCTGCTTCTAGGAAAATATTTCCAGTTTAGGAAGCAATAGGATCTGGTGCTTTTACTTGCCCCTTCTGGGGAAACAGGGTGGTATTCAACTAAGATTTACTCAGAAGAGATCCACTTAAATAAATGAACATGATTAAGTTAGGTCCATTGGTTTTACTCTGAGTAAAACTCCACTGAATACCACCCAAAGTTCTGAAATGAATGAGCACCGTGAGTGATACCAACCTGTCTTATTGCTGGTCTAGATATGGACAGGATGAGTGCCAGACCCACAGTTAGCCTATGAGTTTCACCCTATGGGCCAGGCTCCTGCTGGGTTCAAACCAAAGAATCAAATGAAAGTGTACAACAAAGAAAATGATGAAGCAAGAATGACCAGAGATTGAGACCAATGGCTGGGTTAATTTATCCATAAGTGGACAGAGCCTCAGTTGAGTGCCTCTACATTCTTCCATATTCCATTATAAGACTGTGACTAGATGTAGACTCCATACAGCAGCAGATTTGAGCACAAAACCAGTTTGCGGCCTTAGATCATGTGGGCCCCCAAAAACATGCCCCTCCCCATTTCAAGTTTTGCCTTAAAGATAAAGGAATGGTAAAACAAATACTAAAACAGACATTATCATTTTCATTGTTCATTTGAATTAGAATGATATGCGTTTGGTTTTTTTTTTGGTAATGCTATGAGGCCTCTTGAGTTTGACATGGCTTAGGGCCTCAGCATCTATTTATTTATTAAATTTGTATACCACCCTTCAGGACGCGGGTGGCGCTGTGGTCTAAACCACAGAGCCTAGGACCTGCCGATCAGAAGGTCGGCGGTTTGAATCCCCACAATGGGGTGAGCTCCTGTTGCTCTGTCCCTGTTCCTGCCAACCTAGCAGTTCGAAAGCACGTCAAAGTGCAAGTAGATAAATGGGTACCGCTCTGGCGGGAAGGTAAACGGCATTTCTGTGCGCTGCTCTGGTTCTCCAGAAGCAGCTTAGTCATGACCCGGAAGCTGTATACCAGCTCCCTTGGCCAATAAAGCGAGATGAGCGCCACAACCCCAGAGTTGTCCACGACTGGACCTTTACATTTACCTTTATACCACCCTTCATTCAGAGATCTCAGGGCAGTTCACAACATGAAAATGCAATATAAAAGCACAAAATGTGTGATAAAAACAAGAACAAAAAACACCTGCCCCACAAACGCTCCCTCTCCCACAAAGACTTTTAAAAAGGGCATAAGATGTGAATCAGCCAATGGCCTGGTTGAAGAGGAATGTTTTTGCCTGGTGCCTAAAGGCGTATAATGCAAACACCACCCAAATCTCCCTGGAAGGAACATTCAATTGGGTTTCAGGCCCTTGTCACACTGGTTGATGATCTTTGGTGGGCTAGGGGCAAAGGTGAAAGTTGTTTCCTAGTTCTGCTGGATCTCTCAGCGGCCTTTGATACCATCGACCACAACATCCTTGTGGACTGTCTAGGAGAGCTGGAAGTTGGGGGCACTGTTATACAGCGGTTACACTCCTTCCTCCTGGGCCATGTTCAGAAATTAGTGGTGGGGGATGAGTGTTTGGACCCCTAGGCTCTCACTTGTGGGGTGCCTCTGAACTCCATCCTCTCCCCCATGCTTTTTAAAACATCTGTATGAAACTGTTGGGATAGATCATCGGGGGGTTGGGGGTTGGGCTGAGTGTTCATCAATATCCAGATGATACCCAACTTTAACCTCTCGTTTAAATCAGAACCAGTGAAGATGGTGAAGAACATCTTGTGTGGAAAGAGGTTGGAAAAAGAATATTAGGTCGTTTTGGCAGATATGATATAATGGATTAAGTAAAAATGAGGTATGGAAATTGATGAAATAGAGGAGGATTAATTACATTATTGAACGTTAAAATAAGTAAATGAAAAGAAGGCTAGAAGGATCTGCTGGAAATACGATTCGAACTAGAATACAAAGTTGGGAGGTGAGAGGAGGTCATGGAAATAAGTAAAGGGAAAAAAGGTTAGGTAAAGGTTTAATTTGTTTTTTGCTTTATTTTAATGCAATGTATCTTTATATTTTTTGTTAAGTCTTTTTTATTGTTTGTTTTTTGTTATATGTTTATTTTATTTTGTATGGTTTTTCCTTTCTTTTTTTGTAATTCTAAACTTTGAATAAATATCATTAAAAAAAAAAAAAGAACATCTTGTGTGGGTGTCTGAAGGCAGTTGGGGAGTAGATGGTGGTCCATGGATTGAGGTTGAATCCTGACAAGGCAGTCTGGACATGCACCAGAATATAGCCTATTTCTTTTGGTTCAGAATATCTGAACAATGAACTGGAAAGTCTGCAATATTTCAAACAATTCACTGGTTCAATAATGAGCCCTCACACATCCTTTTGTGGGCGCCCTTTGCGGGATCGCACGCAGCACCTCGGGCCACGTGGGACTCACCAGCTGGTTGGGCTGGCCCACCTCCCTGTGCTAGTTATTGGGGGTTCCTGCCAAACCCCAGTTAGCCTATCAGCGCTGAGTGGAGGCGGGGCCAGTTGCATAAATAGGAGGTGGAGGTGGCAACAAACATGCAGCCAGCTCTGGAGCTTCACCCACCCAACGCTCCCTTTGTCTAATGCTTGTTTGCAAGTTAACCATTTCCCTTCCTGTTCAGTGGGTGCTGCTACGGTCTTTTGGTGGTTGCTGTTGAAGAGCCAGGAAGGAATTTCTCTGCGTTGGCAGGTTTGCCTTCCCCAGTGGAATTCATCACAACTTTGGCAGTTTCAGGCTTTAGGCGGAATCCTTTAGTCTATCTTCCCTAAATGGGGTGGTGGTGAAGTGGTGACTCACCCCCCGGCAGCAATTCCAGGGTCCCCTTTTATTTGTTTATAATTGATATTTATTAAGTTTTCAAAGAATAACAACAAAAATTTCCAAAAAAAAATTTGAGGATACAAAAAACAAAAATAGTACATAAACAAAAAAGAAAAGAAAACCCAGCCGCAAAGAAAAAAAAGAGAAACAGAAAAACAAAAATATAAAGTCCTTTACAATCTCTATTGACTTCCTTTCTAGACTTCCTCCTCCTCCCCTCTTTTGTTTCTTAATTTTTAATTTTTACAGCAAATCCTTTCTGTTTTTTCATAACAATCTGTCATTACGTTTCCTTATTCTATTTTCCCTCTTGTCATATAAAAACTTTAAGACTCATAGCTTATATTCAATATTTACCAAATTCTTGCATCATTACCTTTTACGAATCATTTACCAATCCTTACTTAAGCCATGTAATTTCATTCAACATCCTTCAAACATTTGTAAGCATTCCCAATATTAAAAATAAAAAGGAAAAAATAATAAGTCAAATTCAGTCCAGTCAGCTTCCAACCTCCCCTCCCCTGGACCCGGGATTGTCAGTCCTTTTAACCTCGATAATCCGGCTCCTTAACCTGGTTGTCTCGTATCCGAGGCCCTCAAGTCTCTTTCTTGCCCCTTTCGCCACTCTTGTTGATGATTCCTTTCCAGTCGTGGATGCTCCAGCAAGAAAATGCTTTTGACCCTTTGCAGCAAGTCCATCCCAAACCCATTGCCCAAGCCAGACAGCAAATAATACCACTTCAAATTTCCACAAAGCTTGGAGACTTCGGCTACTCCAATCCTCTGATAGCCCATCACCAGACTCGGAAGGTCCAAATAACCATATGGAGGGGGTCGATCCATCCCCCATTTCCAAATCTGACCACATTTCATCTTTCCGAATCTGGTTTGCCCCAAGTTCATTTATCAAGTTCGAAGGCTGATCTTGCCCGTCCAAAGGTCCCTCCATCTCTGAAGCCTCCGTCACTACAGCAGGTTCATATGCTTGTATAGCCTTTAACTGAATTTCATTTGTTTGCTGCTGTGCTCTGGTAACTTCCATCATCAAGGTCGTCTCCTGACGCATCTGGTCCAGCTGGGCACTTAGTTTTGAAAAACCTTCCAGGAACAATTGTTCAAGCCTTTGTACTAGCATTGTCTTTCAAGGTCAAAGAAAATTCTTTCCCACGACAATAGTCCAATAGTCCTTCTCTTTTAATCTCTCTGCGTTGCAATTTCACTAAATTCCACTAGATGGAAATTTTTTTTTTTTTTAAAAGGAATAAAAGCAACAGCAACAATCTTTCTTTTTCCAGAAACACTTTATCCAAAATTCCCCCTTCCAAATTCAAGAGGCAACAGTAGAATCAAAATGTTACCCTTCTTTTAACTAACTGTCGAGCTGGATAAACTCCAGAACGTCAATTCTGACAGCCCGCTCCTGGTTCAGGGCGGTGGAAAATTGCTTTATTTTAAACTCACTTCCGCAGGATTGAAAAGTCCAAATACAACCCCCTTCTTCTCCTGCAGTCAAAGGGGGTTCAGAAATCTTAGATGTTGAATTCTAGTTCTCTTAGAATTTAATTTTCAAGCTTTAGTATATTTTGTCTTTGCTTTCTTCACATAACAAAAGAACGGAAGGCGACTTCCTGTTTAGACCTTCCCATTCCGAGTCCCAATTAAGTTCAATTTCAAGTCCAATATTATTTGTTTATTCACCAGTCTTAAAAGTGGTTCAACTCTTCCAAGATCAGGTACTCACGGATAGATATTTTAGATGCCAAATTGTCCAGGAAAAGGCAGCGCTCTCCGATAACGGCAGTGCGGCTTTGCTGCACGGAGGAAGCAGTCGACTCACAGCACCACGCACCTTCCACTCCGGAGCCCGTTACCGGGCTCCTGTAGCCAAGGGGAGAGCGCTCTCGGTGCCCGCCGAGTCCCACGTCCACAGGCTTCTTCCGCCTGTGGTTTTGCGGGTCCCCGCTGCGCCGTAGCGTCAGGACCCAAGCCTCCGTGCAGCGGGTTCCCTTCAGTCCGAAGGGAATTCCGCCATTTTCCGGAGGCGCCACCCCGGAAGTCTCCAGGGTCCCCTTTTAAAGGGGTTTGTGAAAAGGGAGTCACCGGCCATACACTGAAGGTTGTCAGTGAACTCCCCTGCGTTGCGCGAATATGGGGTGGGCTGCCTGTGTACACAAGCACCTTGCAGTGCACCCTCCCATATCCCATTCACCCTGAGGAGCCCCAGTTCCCCGGCTTGGGGCTGGAAGAGATACACACCCAATGCCTAAGCCAAGGTCTTTCTCCATCTTTCTCCATTAATAAAGTTGTGGCCAAATTTTAATTCCATAACATGTTGTCACGAGTCATTATTCCTTCTGGTGGTCTCTCGGGGCCAGGGGGTCTCCTCCTGGGCATGCAAAATCCATCATTTCACTTCTTCTGCATCCCTCAATACGTGGTTGTGCTGAGTTAAGGAATGTATATTCCCGATGCATGAAGTACTTTCTGGTTCTTTGTTTACATAAAAGGTATTTATTACTAAAGACAGAATAACTCAGATAATTGCCTCCTCAAAAAATGCAGCTTTTCATGTTCTGAGTAGTGTCAAATCCATGAATTTTTATGGAGCCAGATGCAAACCACATTGACTCAGAAGTCATTGCAAACTCATTAAGTTTGCTGCAAAGAGCTCATATCCTTCCTGTATGAACATGCATTTGTGTTGGGGAGTCATTTGTACCAATTTGTATACATGTGCAAGCAAGCTGTATCAACTGTATTACCATTAGGCGATGCATAATAGGCTATTAGAACATGGCCATTAACGGATGCAGGAAGTCTTTAATAGGACTGGAAGCATGCTAAGACACATCATTCTTAGAGGCAGCCATTAAAAAAAGTTATGCCATAGTGAAAGAAAGATACACACGCAACTCTTCTCTCAAATATTAACTTTTCATTCACTGACATGCACTTCCTCAGTAAACAAACCTTCATCGACATGCAATCCCTGTCTGTGGTTTGCTTTTATCTCTCTGCACCACAGGTTATCCACCTGTGTCCTAGATCATGTCACCTTTTGTCTCTCTCATGATACTTTTGGCTGGTTTGGTGGCCACATTCACATGTTCATATCAACGTGTGTGTGAGACAGACAGACAGACAGAACTGTCCCCACTCCTGATTTCCTAAGTCCAGGCCAAAGCATCTATGCACATACAAGCTATATGTGGAGAGGTGTTCTCTGGGAGTCCTGCAAACAGTCGCATCCTCCTTTTTTTTGTAAATAATTTTTATTAAATTACGTAATAACAAATATCATAATTCATCAATCCCAAATTATCCCTTCCCTCCCATCCTCTCTGGACTTCCCCCAACCTCCTTCTCTAGTTTATTTCAACATAGTATCAATTCCTGCATATTTTCTTTCCATTCATTTTTTTATATTTAATCTTCTAATTTATATAATTTTTGTTACTTGTAAATGTTTACTCAAAACCTGCTAATGAGTCCAATTCTTTGCACTGTTTCTGTAGATAAGCTGAAAATAGTTTCCAATCTTCTTTAAAAGATTTTTTGTTCTTATTTTGTAGTCTATCAGTTAGTTTTGCCATTTCGGCATATTCTGTAAGTTTTTCTTGCCATTCTTCTTTAGTTGATATTTTATCGCTTTTCCATCTTTGTGCCAATAACATCCTTGCCGTGGTTGTAGCATACATAAAGAGTCTATGTTTTCCCTTTGGCAAATCTTTACCTAAAATTCTTAACAAAAAGGCTTCTGGGGTTTTAACAAAGGTTATCTTAAACTTTTTTTTCATTTCATTATATATCATTTCCCAATAATTTTCAACTATTTTACAATTCCACCATAAATGATAAAAAGTGCCTTCCTTCTCTTTACACTTCCAACACTTATTGGAGCTGCAAACAGCCACATCCTTAATAACATGTATTGAACCTCTGTACATAAGCTGAGTCCAAACCTGCCACTCAACATGTAGAGCAGCGGTTCTCAACCTGTGGGTCCCCAGATGTTGTTGGACTACAACTCCTTTCATCCCTGAGCTCTGGCCTTGCTAGCTAGGGGTGATGGGAGTTGTAGTTCAACAACATCTGGGGACCCACAGGTTGAGCAAGGCTGATGTAGAGGATGAGGGTACATGAATAGAGTTAGAAATTTGCTTTTTGCGGGGTGGGAGAGGTTCTATGTACACATGTAACCCCTCCACCCACAAGCTATTCCTAAGTCACATCAATGGAGGAAACTGCCCCCTTTCCACATGTCCCTCTCCCAATGAAGTAAATGAAATCTACTTTGCTCTGAATACCGGTAGC